GAGATTACCAGGAGTAATTATAATTAATATATTAGTATTATTATATGACAATATTATTATTTTATTATATTATATTTATATTATTATATTGTATTATTGTTAGTATTGTATTGTATTACATTACAATATTATTATTAATATTATCTTCTTTCTATACACATAATAAAAGTGAAATTATGTACTGTATTTGGCTTGGGTGTCTACTTACACAGACAAGCTCTTGCCTCCACAAACAGCTATATCTCCCACTACTCAGGAGACACCAATGGCCCTCCCTCCAATGACATTGCAGGTTATAGCGAGTGCCATGAACATGTCCAAGAGCCTTGCCAATGTCCTCTACAAACACAATCCTGTCCACCAACCAAGGGAAGGCTTTCATACAGGCTTTCTCATATGTGTTTCCTCCACCACAGACATCCCAGTGTTTCTGACTCTCTCCATTGGTGTGGGATTTGCATGACCCTGCCCACTGCCTCTCCCTTAACCCTTTCCTATTCTTTTCTATGGCACACAGCAAACAGAGGAATTGATCAGCAATGGAACATACTAGAGAAGTTTGGGGAGAATTCACCATGATGTATAGGAGTTGTAGATACTGGGATGTATAGTTCACCTGCAGTCTAAGAGCACTCTGAAACCCACCAGTGATGGACCTGGAACTAACTTGGCACACAAAACCCCCATGACCGATAAAAATACTGGAGGTCTTTGGGGAAAATTCACTTTGACATGGGGGAGTTGTAGTTCACCTGCATCCACAGAGCACTGTAAACCCAAACACTGGTGGACCTGGACCAAACTTGGCACACATACCTAATACGGCAAAATTTGATTACCTGAGGGGTTTGGAAGGAACTGACCTTCCTTTCTGGGAGTTGTAGTTCACCCACAACCAGAGAAACAGTGACCTCTAGTGATGCTGGACCTGGACCAAACTTGGCACACAGAACCCTAATGACTAACTCAACCTATTGGAGGGGTTTGAGGGGACTGACTCACCATAGTGGGAGTTGTAGTTTATGCTTCAGTCAGAGAGCACACTGAATCCCACCAGTGATGCATCTAGAGCAAACTTGCACAACATAACAAACTTTAGGTATTGATTGAGTTTTTCAGGGTTAACCTGGCATGATGTGAGCTGTAGTTCACCCACAACCTTATGCATTTTGTACAATGAAAAAATTGACTTTTTCACCTAACTTGAGCAATGCTGGGTACCCAAGCTAGTATGCATATATAATATATTTTATATTACTAGCATAGCATAATATTAGTATTATATATTATTATATTGTACTATACTACTATACTGCAATATTATTAGTCATATTATATATAATATATAACATATAATTATTATATTAATATATTGTACTATATTATTATACCACTACACATATAATATACCACCTTTATTATTATTATTATACTAGCCTATTAGTATTATACAATATACAGCCTTTCATTACGGTTTGGTTTCCATTAGCCAATAATACCACAACACCTATTATCCCCAATACTGTCTGCTCTTTCGATAACTATGATCCACCAGGCTGTAGTATCCACTCCTTCAAGAACCACACACAAGGACTCCATTTAATTGTGCAAAAGGGGGAAGAGAGAGAAGAGGAAAAGTTGGAAAATATTCTGAACTTATTCAGAAGTTCAGCAGCTCAGCGGTTTAATCCGCTGTGCCAGAAAAGGGGGGGCATATAATTATATTATTATTATATAATATAATATTATTATATATTATATTGTACTCTAGCGTGGCTGGTCCATGAGGTCACAAAGAGTTAGAAGGGAATGAACGAGTGAACAACAACATTATATGATTATACTATTATTGTAATGTACTATATGATTATACTATTATATATTATTATACTATCAATATTATATTATTATATATTATATTGTACTATATGATTATACTATTATACTATTATTATATTGTACTATATTATTATATCACAACATATATAATATACCATCAGTATATTAGACTATTAGTATTTTGTAATATATAGCCTTTCAACATGATTTCCATTAGCCAATAATACCATAACACCTATTATCTCCAATACTGTCCGCTCTTTCAATAACTATGATCCACAAGGCTGTATTGTCTACTCCTTGTTATGATATTATATTATTATATATTATTATATTGTCCTATTTTATTGTGTTATTATTATATTATTTCATTATTTTATTATATATTACTATATTGTGTTATATTATTATATTATTCTTATATTCTTATATTATATTATATATATTATTATATTGTACTATACTAATATATTATTCTAATATTATATATTATTATATTGTCCTAAATTATTATACTATTCTTATATTATTATATTATTATATATTATCATGCTATACTATACTAATATACAATTATTATATTATAAATTATTATATTGTACTATATTATACTGCAATACACATAATATACCACCAATATATTATTATATTATTTCATTATTTCATTATATATTATTATATTGTCCGAAATTATTATATTATTATATATTATCATACTATACTATACTAATATACGATTATTATATTATAAATTATTACATTGTACTATATTATACTGCAATACACATAATATACCACCAATATATTATTATATTATTTCATTATTTTATTATATATTATTATATTGTCCTAAATTATTATATTATTATATATTATCATACTATGCTATACTAATATACGATTATTATATTATAAATTATTACATTGTACTATATTATACTACAATACACATAATATACCACCAGTATATTATTATATTATTTCATTATTTTATTATATATTATTATATTGTCCTAAATTATTATATTATTATATATTATCATACTATGCTATACTAATATACAATTATTATATTATAAATTATTATATTGTACTATATTATACTGCAATACACATAATATACCACCAATATATTATTATATTATTTCATTATTTTATTATATATTATTATATTGTCCGAAATTATTATATTATTATATATTATCATACTATACTATACTAATATACGATTATTATATTATAAATTATTACATTGTACTATATTATACTACAATACACATAATATACCACCAGTATATTATTATATTATTTCATTATTTTATTATATATTATTATATTGTCCTAAATTATTATACTATTCTTATATTATTATATTATATTATTATATTGTACTATATTATTATACTATTCTTATATTATTATATATTATCATATTATACTATACTAATATACTATTATTACATTATTATAAATAACTATATTGTACTATATTATGATACTACAATACATATAATATACCGCCAATATATTAGACTATTAGTATTATATACTACACAACCTTTCAAGATGATTTCCATTAGCTAGCAATACTGTCTGCTCTTTCGATAACTATGATCCACGAGGCTGTAGTGTCCACTCTTTCAAGAAACCCACACAAGGACTCCATTTAGTTGCACAAAGGGAGAAGAGAGAGAAGAGAAGAAGCTGGCATATAGACTGATTGAGAAGGGAAAGCCTTCTCCTGGCTTGCCACACAGCCATGTGGAGGAGAGAAGGAAGGTCTGGATCAGTGGCCAAGAGATCAGCAAAAATTTCGGATGCCCTGCTAGTCAACCATTGCAAGTTGCCTGTATAACTTGTATGCTACAGTGTATTATGGTCTTTAATAATGAAATAATAATAAAATAATAATAAAATTTGGGTTGTTGTAGGTTTTTTCGGGCCATGGTCTGGAGGCATTCTCTCCTGACATTTCGCCTGCACTTTGGCAAGCATCCTCAGAGGTAGTGAGGCCTATTTATCTACCTATAATATAATAAAATAATAAAATAATAATGAAATCATATAATCATACAGTTGGAAGAGACCTCATGGGCCATCCAGTCCAACCCAAATGTATCTATCTATAATATTATAATAAAATAATATAATAATAATAAATGTATCTATCTATAATATAATAATATAATATAATAATAAAATGTATCTATCTATAATATAATATAATAAAAAATAATAAAATGTATCTATAATATAATAATGTAATAAAATAATAATAAAATGTTTCAATCTATAATATAATAAAATAATAAAAATGTATCTATCTATAATAAAATAATAAAATAATAATAAAATGTATCTATCTATAATTTAATAATATAATAAAATATAATAAAATAATAAAATAATAAATTTTATTTATCTATAATATAACAATACAATAAAATAATAATAAAATGTATCTATCTACAATATAATAATATAATAATAATAAAATGTATCTATCTACAAAATAATAAAATAATAAAAAATGTATTTATCTATAATATAATAATATAATAAAATAATAATAAAATTTATCTATCTATAATATAATAATATAATATAATAAAAATAAATTTTATCTATCTAACAAGAAGAGGATGGAGGAAAGAACACAATCGAGGAAACCTTGCAAAAACTACAAGTCGGCTTATTTGAAATCCGGTTCCACAAAGGCTCAAGTCTATTTTCAGGTCCTTGCTGAGCGTTTGGGAAAGTGTTGCCCCTGGTTGGGCTCCCAGGGTTGCGTCCACATTGGGGAATTAATGCAGTTTGGCACCGCTTTGAATTGCCGGGACACCCAAGGCAACTGAATCCTGGAAGAGCCACTCATTTGGCAGGAAGGGGGAAAAAGACCTCGTGGAAATGCAAAAACCAGGAGTTAGGAGCGTCAAAGTGGTGCAGAAGTGTGTCAATTCTAAAGTGCAGACGCGCCTCTCATTCTTTCCTTGGAAGGAAGAGAACTGAGCCATTCCCCCCAAAAGGGAAGCCTTCTATCCCTCTTCCTGGCCACACTACAAATCCCAAGACTCCAAGGAAAGAGGAGAGGGTGAAGAATGGAGCAACCAAAGCAGAGATCTCCTTTTCTCCAGATCTTTCCCACTCACTCACTCACTCACCTGGATGTCCCTTCCAGGCTGGCCATCAATGGGGCTGCTCGGCTATGGGCTCCATCCATCCATCTATCCATCCATCCCAGAGCTGCTCCTCCGACAGACAGAGAAAGCCAAAGCTTGAGCACCAAGCCAGCCTCGAACCCGCCTCCTGGGGACGGCTTTCTCTTTTGCTATTTTTTTGTGAATGGAGCCGGCTTGTGAATGGAGGAAGCGCCGGAGTGGGCGGGGACAGAACCCTGGTAGCCACGCCCACCGCTTGACTTGACTCTTCTCTTCCCTCCTCCCTTTCCCTTCCCCTTCCCGGAGCTCTTAATGCTGCCCAAGTGGCGTCACTTGGCTGAAACAGAGTCGGCCCATTAGACGGCCCCAAAGGGACCCCACAACACAAGACATGGGGAAGGGGGGAGGGGGTGAAAAGTGAGGCTCCCACACTGTGGAATTAATGCGGTTTGGTCCCACTCAAGGCTATGGGGTCCTGCGAGTTGCGGTTTGGTGTGTGTGTGTGTGGGGCAACAGCGACTTGAGAAACTGATGTGAGAATTGGCCGTCTGCAGGGAGGTTGCCCAGGGGAAGCCTGGATGTTCTACTGTCCTGTGGGAGGCTTCTCTCATGTCCCGGCATGGGATGCTGGTGACTCTTTGGTGTGAGAGAATAGGCCGTCTGCAGGGAGGTTGCCCAGGAGAAGCCCAGATGTGTTATCAACCTGTGGGAGGCTTCTCTCATGTCCCCGCATGGGAACCTGGTGCTGACAGATGGGAGCTCATCACTCTGCAGTTTGGTGACTCTTTGGTGTGAGAGAATTGGCCGTCTGCAAGGACGTTGCCCAGGGGATGCCTGGATGTTGTACCATCCTGTGGGAGGCTTTCCTTATGCCCTCGCATGGGAAGCTAGAGCTGACAGATGAGAGCTCATCGCCCTGCAGTTTGGTGACTCTTTGGTGTGAGAGAATTGGCTGTCTGCAAGGACGCTGCCCAGTGGAAGCCTGGATGTTGTACTGTCCTGTGGGAGGCTTCTCTCATGTCCCTGCATGGGATGCTGGTGACTCTTTGGTGTGAGAGAATTGACTGTCTGCAAGGACGTTGCCCAGGGGAGGCCCAGATGTTGTACCATCCTGTGGGAGGCTTCTCTCATACCCCCGTATGGGATGCTAGAGCTGACAGACGGGAGCTCATCTCCCTGCAGTTTGGTGACTCTTTGGTGTGAGAGAATTGGCTGTCTGCAAGGACGTTGCCCAGGGGAAGTCTGGATGTTGTACTGTCCTGTGGGAGGCTTCTCTGCATGGACTGTCTCTGCATGGGATGTCCCTGCATGGGATGCTGGTGACTCTTTGGTGTGAGAGAATTGGTCATCTGCAGGGAGGTTGCCCAGGAGAGACCCAGATGTGTTATCAACCTTTGGGAGGCTTCTCTCATGTCCCCGCATGGGAAGCTGGTGCTGACAGACGGGAGCTCATCACCCTGCAGTTTGGTGACTCTTTGGTGTGAGAGAATTGGCTGTCTGCAAGGACGTTGCTCAGGGGAGGCCCGGATGTTGCACCATCCTGTGGGAGGCTTCTCTCATACCCCCGTATGGGAAGCTGGAGCTGACAGACAGGAGCTCACTCTGCAGTTTGGTGACTTGGTGTGAGAGAATAGGCCATCTGCAAGGACGTTGCCCAGGTGAGGCCGGGATGTTGCACCATCCTATGGAAAGCTTCTCTCATGCCCCCGCATGAGATGCTGGAGCTGACAGACAGGAGCTCATCTTGCAGTTTGGTGACTCTTTGGTGTGAGAGAATTGGCCGTCTTCAAGGACGGTGCCCAGGGGATGCCTGGATATTTTACCATCCTGTGAGAGGCTTCTCAATATTGTAATAGAGTAATACTAATGTAATAAAACAGTTTTGGAGCCCCCAGTAGCAAAGTGGATTAGACTGCTAAGCTGCAGAACTTGCTGACCGAAAGGTCGGCAGTTCAAATCCGAGGAGCGGGGTGAGCTCCCGCTGTTAGGCCCAGCTTCTCCCAATCTAACAGTTCGAAAACATGCAAATGTGAGTAGATCAATAGGTACTCGTTCTGTGGCAAGGTAACAGCACTCCATGCAGTCATGCCGGCCACATGACCTTGGAGGTGTCTATGGACAATGCCAGCTATCAGAGCCAGCTAACACCTCCCAAGAAAGGACCCCCTAAGCAGCAATCAGCCAGGCTTTAAAGCTGCAAGACCATTCAATGATAATCAAGGTGGCCAATGGCAGTATTCACACAAGCCTCCAACAGACAAGAGTTCTTTCCCCCACCCTAGACATTCCACAGATATACAAATCCCACTTAATTAAATAATAATAATAATAATAATAATAATAACTTTATTTATACCCCTCTACCTCTCCCAAAAGGGACTCAGGGCAGCTGAGGCCTAGTTTCCAACAGGGTTTACAATCTCTGAGGATGCCTGCCATAGATGTGGGTGAAACATCAGGAGAGAATGCTTCTGGAACATGGCAATACAGCCTGGAAAACTCACAGCAACCTAATGTCCAAGTTGTTTGCAGCTGCAGTTCTGAAACAGAGAGGAACAACAGAAATCTGGGAATGGCCCAAACATCACTTCTGCTTCTCAACACATGGCAGAATATTATGTCTTGCAGAAGTTCAGCTGGGCCGAAAGGCAGCTATGCGCTTTCGACTCTTGTGATAATATAGTCAGTGGAAGTGGCCCAAAAACAATAATGTTATTAGGTTCTTGTAGGTTTTTCGGGCTATAGGGCCATGTTCTAGAGGCATTTCTCCTGATGTTTCGTCTGCATCTATGGCAAGACCTCACTACCTCTGAGGATGCTTGCCATAGATGCAGGCGAAACGTCAGGAGAAATGCCTCTAGAACATGGCCCTATAGCCCGAAAAAACCTACAAGAACCTAGTGATTCCAGCCATGAAAGCCCTCGACAATACAATAATGTTATTTTCATCCTTGTCCTGCAAGGTTTTTTTTTCTTGGAAAGTTCAAATTTCCCCTAGTTTTTTTTTTTCATTTGGTTTTTGACCTCTGGATCTGAGCGATCTCCTTTGCGCTGTTTTCGTTTTATTTTCGAGGCAAAGCAGCTAATTTTGGAGCCAAGAATCCTCCTTGGTTCCAAGCTTCCTTGTCAAGCTAACAAAGGGAAGGGAGAGCTTGGAGCTATTTCCGAGATCCATTAGCGCTGGGCTCTGTCTTTCGCTGGCCTGCCTTCCCCTCCTCTCCATTTCCCTCCCAGCTCTAGTCCTGCCTTTGCAATCCAATAATGAACTGCCATGAAGCAGCCCAAAGGTCCTGAGATCCAGGGAGGGAGTGTGGGGTGGGGTGTATTTTTGAGTATCACTTCCACTTTGGGCAAAGGAGAACAGGCCTCTTAATTTGCAATTAATTAGGAGCAAAGCCTGCCTTCAAGGTGGGCAAAAATTGCAGGACAATTTGCAAGAGACTGGGGAAAAGGTCTGGAACAAGGATATGGACCCTCTTTTACATAGCCTACAATTGTGCTACTTTGATTAATTTTCTCCAACCTCACAATCTCTGAGGATGCTTGCCATAGATGCAGGAGAAACGTCAGGAGAGAATGCTTCTAGACTGGCCCATAGCCAGGATTTCGTTTCGGGGGGGGGCTGAATTTTTTTCAGGGGGGGTTTCGGGGGGGCTGAGTTTCGGGGGGGGGAGGCTGAGTCTGAGTGAAAGAGGGTCTAGCCTAGCAAACCTTTTGTATCATTACCCCAATACCCCCATGCATATGGGATATATTGAGTATGGTGATCAGATCATGATATGAATAAACATAACAGTTTAAATAATGCACCAGTAAGGCCTTTTCGTGAACCACCATGAGAATTTCGGGGGGGGGGAGGGGGCTGAAGCCCCTCAAGCCCCCCCCCCCGGCTACATGCCTGCTTCTAGAACATAGCCATACAGTCCAAAAAACCTACAACAACCCAATTTTCTCCATTCTTTTCAACTGTCCCAGAAAGTGTAAACTTTCCCCCTTTTTGTCCTCAGCTTGCTGCGAATGGAGTTCTGAAAAAGAGGGGAAAAAATAGAGTCTTTACCAATGTTTCTCAGCCTTCCTAATGCCATGACCCCTTCATACAGTTCCTCATGTTGTGGTGACCCCCAACCATCTTATATATAAAAAAATGCTCTGCGCATAATGAGTTCCTTAAAAACAAAAGAACCAATGAACGGAATCACACCAAATTTGGCAACAAAACATCTCACTACATAAGGAGTGACCATCACTGCAGAAATAATGATTTTGTCATTTGGGAGTTGTAATTGCTGGGATTTATAGTTCACCTACAATCAAAGAGCATTCTGAACTCCACCAACGATGGAATTGAACCAAACTTGGCACACAGGCCTTCCATGACCAACAGAAAATATTAGCAGTGTTTTGTGGGCATTGACCTTGAGTTTGGGAGTTGTAGTTCACCTCCATCCAGAGAGCACTGTGGACTCAAACAATGATGGGTCTGGACCAAACTTGGCACAAATATTCCATATGCCCAAATATGAACACGGAGTTTGGGGGAAATAGACCTTGACATTTGGCAGTTGTAGTTGCTGGGTTTTATAGTTCATCTATAATCAAAGAATGTTCTGAACCCCCCCAATGACAGAATTGGGGCAAATTTTATTTATTTATTTATTTATTTATTTATTTATTTATTTCACAGTTTTGTATACCGAGCTTCTCAACCTCGTCGAGGGACTCAGCCCGGTTTACAGCCATAAAAACATATACATTCATTAAAATATCATATATCACAAATTACAAAACAACTTTAAAATCACTAAATATAACTACAGTGGTCAGTCGTCCTAATAAGATGGATCTATATCCACTTCCATCCAGAGTCCTATGGTGTTGTCTCATTCCTCGAAGGCCTGACTCCGCAGCCACGTCTTCACCCGTTTCCTAAATGTTAGGATGGATGGGGCGGTTCTGGCCTCCAGAGGGAGAGAGTTCCAGAGTCATGGGGCCACCACCGAGAAGGCCCTGTCCCTCGTCCCCACCAGCCACGCTTGCGAGGCTGGTGGGACCGAGAGCAGGGCCTCTCCAGATGATCTTAGTAATCTTGATGGTTCGTAGGGGAGAATACTTCCCACACAAACTTCCC